TTAAACTACATCTCTGGGACGGCCTGCTGCAGGCTGGACTCCACCTCTAGCAGCCTGACCTCCACCTCTAGCTGGTTGTGGAATACTCAGTGCCTAAATCATGGCACGAGAACCCTGGTGCTGAGAACTGCTCGATGCTCGGGGGCAAAATCTAGCAATATGTCCCATATCACCACAAGTATAACAAACCCTCGGCTGCTGAGACTGCTGACCCTAAAGACCTGAATGACAACCCCGAAAACTCTAGAGCGGCGGTGCACTGATAGGAGCTAGCGGTGGACTATAGGAATACTGATCGGAATACTACATATGAGAACCATGGCCACCTGAAGCACCGTAAGAAACCTGAAGTGCTAACTGAAAAGGCGTAGGAGGATGGACTCTACCATACGAATCCCTGCTTCCAGATGAGGCACCACTAAATCTACCTGAATGATGAGGCCTCTTGTCAGACCCCTGACCACCCTCATGTGATGCAACCATCTCAAACCTCCTGGCCACATTGGCCGCATCCTGGAAGGAAATCTCGCTCGCCGTCTCCTTAGCCATCTGAAGTCGAATAGGCTGAACGAGTCCCTGAATGAACCTCCTCTCTCTCTCTCTCTCTCTCTCTCTCTCTCTCTCTCTCTTTCTCTCTCTCTCTCTCTCTCACACACACACAGTGGGAAGTATAAGAAAAGTATGACGGGTGAAATCGATAAACCTGGTCTCGTACTGAGTAACAGTCATAGAACCCTATTGGAGACGCTCAAACTGACTCCGATAGATCGCTTTCTGAGTGATAGGAAGAAACTTCTCCAGAAATAGCTGAGAAAACTGATCTCAAGGCAAACCTGGTGACCAAACTGGTCTAGCCAAACAATAATCTCTCCACCAAGTCTTGGCGGATCCAGATAAGCGAAAGGTAGTAAAGTCGACCTCATTGGTCTCCACTATCCTCATGTTCCTGAGAACCTCATCACAGCTGTCCAAATAATCCTGGGATCCTCAAAAGATGCACCGCTAAAAATGGTAGTGAAGAGCTTGGTGAACCTGTCCAATCTCCAAAAGGCATCGTCGGACATAGCTGCTCCCTCACTGGTCTGAGCTACCATACCCGGCTGAACTGCTCCAACTGGTTGAGCTGTTGGAGTCAGAAACTGGGGAGCCATCTTCTCCGGAGTGCGGGTAGCAGAAATCTGGGCTCCTCCTCCAGCCTGAGAGACGGCTAGTGCTACAGGAAGCAAGCTTGCCCGGGTGACACTCTCCATAAAGCCTACTAGACAGACCAGAGAATCCTGGAGTATTGGAGTAGCAATAAACCCCTCTAGGACCTGAGCTAGGCCCACTGGAACTGCCTAGGCCAAAACCTCATCATCAAACTCAACCTGAGGCTCCGCCGCTGGTGCTGCTGCTCTGGGCTGAGCTCTGCCCCTGCCCCGTGTTCTAGCATGGCCTAGGCCTCGCCCTATGCCCCTCGTGGGAGCTGCTGCTGGGGGCTCAGGCTGCGGATCAGTGGGTGAGGAAGCGCGTGTTCTCACCATCTGCAAAAGAACAGAGTAGAAATTAAATTAGCATTGAGAAACCAAACCGCACAATAGGAAAGAATAAATGTGAAGTTTTTCCAAACTCTGTAGCATCTGGGGATAAATACAGATTTCTCCGTACCGATCCCTCAGACTCTACTAAGCTTGTCCGTGAATTGTGAGACCTACGTAACCTAGAGCTCTGGTACCAACTTGTCACAACCCGGATTTCCCACCCTCGGGAGTCGTGATGACACCTACTAGTGAAAGCTAGGCAAGCCAACCATTGGAATTAATTAGCTTTTTTTCGTTTTAATCCCTTAACAATTAATAGCCAACATTAAATAAAACAGCGGAATTTAATAAGCGGAAGACTAAAACGTGATATTTTAATAAAGATGTCAATACCAATCAATAAATAAACTACCCAGAACTGATGTCACAATTCCACAGACTGTCTAGGAATACTACAAATAAAGGTCCGAAAGATTTATTTCAGCACTATCTCTGAAATACATAAAAGAAACAGAATAAAAGGATAGAAGGAGACGCCAAGCCCTGCGGACGTCTGCAGGACTACCTCGGATCTCCGAATGGACTGAAGGCAGCAACCCCAAGCTACGGTCCGAAAGTTGCTGCACCGAGATCTACACACAGTACAGAGTGTAGTATCAGCACAACCGATCCCATGTGCTGGTAAGTTCCTAGCCTAACCTCGGCAAAGAAGTGACGAGTCTAGGACAAGACTACCAAAGAAACATGTACAGTTAAATCATATACAGCGAAAAATAAAGGCAAAATTGTACAATTAAAGATAGGAAGGGGAAATCATGCTGCGGGGATATAACCAGTAACAACTGAAAACAACAGTCAAATGTAAAGAACATCATAACCCAATTATCAGTAAAAGTCAGGAAATCAAAGACAAGTGCACGGCATCACCCTTCGTGCTTTTACTCTCGTTCTCACCAAAAAATCAATATAAATGGCACGACATCACCCTTTATGCTTTTACCTCACATAATTATGACACGAGATGATCCTTAGTGCATTATCACTCATATAAAGGCACGGAATGGTACATCGTGCGGCACGACATCACCCTTCGTGCATCAACACTCTCTCAAAAATATCATCCACGACAAGGGAGACAATATCATAATCCTCTTTTCCTTTTCACATTTACTTCCCAACTCAATTTACAATTTGAGCCAATGCTCTATAAGGTTCAATTGCCAATTATATTTCCACAAATCATTTTACAACATGAGCCAACGCTCTTCAATGTTCAAATACCAACATTACTTCCACAAGCCTTGCTCAACAATAGAAATCATCACATAAGGCATGAACAATACAAACAGAGTCACATTAATCATAGTATAAGACTCACGGGCATGATTGACACCAACGTATAGATACTCGTCACCATGCCTATATGTCGTACTCAATAATTAACACATAGCAAATAGGAGACGACTCCTAATCCCTCAAGCTAAGGTTAGACCAAACACTTACCTCGATGCCACGAACACAATTTAAGCGTCAACTATCGCTTTACCTCTTGATTCCACCACTAATTCACTTGTATCTAGCCACAAGTTACTTAACTATATCAATAAATGCTAAATGAATCAATTCCAATGCATGAAAATAGATTTTTCTAAAGTTTTTTCCCAAAAAGTCAAAAATTGAGCCCGGACCCACATGGTCAAAACCAGAGGTTCGAACCAAAACCCGATTACTCATTCCCCCACGAACCCAAATATATAATTTGTTTTGAAATCGGACCTCAAATCGAGGTCCAAATAACCAAAATTTGAAAAACCTAAGTTCTACCCAAAACACCCAATTTCCCCCATGAAAACCCTTGATTTTGAGTTAAAATCATGTGAAAAGATGTTAAAGATTGAAGAAAACGAGTTAGAAATGACTTACAATCGATTTGGAAGAGTACTTGTCTTTGAAAAATCGCCCAATGGTGTTTTGGTTTTGAAAGGGTTTGAAAAATGGAAGATTTTCGGCTAAGTTATGAATTTGCAGGTCGCAGATGTCGCAATTGCGAACCCTTAAGAAACCTGTTTTCTTCGCATTTGTGAACCCTAAGGATTTATGTCCTCCTCGCATTTGCGATGCTACTGTCGCATTTGCGACCAAGGCAGCCCAGGCCATAGTTCGCATTTCCGATACATTGTTCGCATTTGCGAGCCTGCAGGCCTACAATACACCAGCAATTTCCTAAGTCCAAATTTCACTCCGTGACCTATCCAAAACTCACCCGAGCCCTTGGGGCTCCAAACCAAACATGCACACCAACCTAAAAAGATCATACGAACTTGAATTCGTGCAATCAAATCATCAAAATAACATCAACAACTATGAATTTAGCATCAAAATCAAAGAAAATCTCAAGAACTTTCAAAGTTTCAAATTTTACAACTAAGGTTCCGAATCATGTCATATGACCTTCGTTTCTCACAAAATTTTACAGGCTCAACTTAAATCACATATAAGACATGTACCGGGCTCCGGAACCAAAATACGGGTCCGATACCATCAAATTCAAACATATTTCATTTCCAAAACATCATATATATTTTAGAAAATAATTTTCTTTAAAAATTTATTTCTCGGGCTTGGGACATCGGAATTTGATTCCGGGCATACGCCCAAGTCCCATATTTTCCTACGGACCCTCTGAGACCGTCAAATCACGGGTCCGGTTCCGTTTACCCAAAATATACCAAAATCAACATAAATTCATTTTAAAAGCAAAATTTATCTTTTTTCACAGATTTCCAGATAATGGCTTTCCAGATACGCGCTCGGACTACGCACGCAACTCGAGATGAGATAAAAGGGAGGTTTTAAGGCCTCGGAACACGTAATTTAGTTACGGTTACAAGTGTATATATAAAACTTTAACTAATGTAACTAACTATTAACTGTTGGTATAAACTCTAGTTAGTATTGTAAGTTTGTAACTAGGGTTAAGTTATGTAACACTACTTATACTACTCTCAACAGTTTTCCCTTACAATGAATTGTATTTTATTATTAGTGTCACCGTCTTTTTTATATCAATACCTTGCGTGTTACTTCAAGGAAAAGATATTAGGGGACAAGAGAAGAGAAATCGTGAATCATGTTCTCTGGTTGTTAAGACAAAAAAACAAATATATAAGTCAACAATAAAAACTAAATTGGTTTCTTTTTAGTATTTCTAGGAAATACCAATAATTTCAAACTGATATAAGATTGGATCTGTTGAAATAATAAAATAAATACAATGAATATACACTCAGTCTGCATTTGTTTCTTTTATATAAATTTCTTCTGATTTTGATATGACACAATAATTAGATATCCGAAAAAACTATCAATAGTACAGACTTTATTCTTTGTATAATTACAACTTGGAATAAATAATTTCCATGTGCGCAACACTTCCATTCGACATGATTATTTAGTTTTAATGCTGACAAAGAAAACATTGTTTGTTTATATAATTATTACACATCACACATGATTACAACCCACCAAATGGAAACCAAGACTCTTCATATATATTTCTTCTTGGAAAAAAAAAGTCCGTCAAGAAATTAAAGGTCATTTTGATCTTTCATACAATCAAAATGTCCACCAAAATTACTTATTCAAATCCAATTTACAATCTTACATACAACCAAAATATATCCCAAAAATCCCATTTTCCATATTCAAGGTCTGTGCTATGTAGAAAATCCCATCTAAAGAAGATCAACAAGCTTCTCAATTTCGTCAATTCCAATGGGAAAAATGGAATACTCACGTAGGTTTAATTTCTGTTCCCCCTTTTAATTTTCTGTTGTAAAAATTCCATTTATTAACTATTTCAATATGCAAATTTTTTTCCTTAGTGTGAAGTGCAACTCAGCCAACAGTACTGGATCAGATGCTCCACCTCCCGGCAAATCTCCATTTTTTGGATGGTAGAGTTAATTTCTTTTTCCTTTTTTTTTGCGAATATAGCCTGTCAGATTTAGGACGGGAGCGTTGGCTTAACTAGTAAAGTTGTTGTCATGTGATCATGAGGTCACAAGTTCGAGCCGTGGAAACAATCTCTTGCAGAAATGCAGGTAAGACTGCGTACGATAGACCTTTGTGGTCTGACCCATCCCCGACCCTGCTCATAGCAGAAGCTTTGTGCACCAGACTGCCCTTTTAGCCTAGTTTTTATCATGTATACGTAGATCATACACTAAATATACACAATAATACACATATCCGCGGGCTTGTTTTTAGCTTAAGCTGTTTTATGGGAAGCTACTTGAGTTGATTCTTTTTTTTTTTTTTT